CCCAAGAGAAAGAAAATCCATGTCCACAAAAAGGATTTCATAAGGATGTTCACTGCAGCTTTATTCATAACAGCCAAAACTGGAATCAGCTTAAGGGTCTATCAACTGAGGAAGGAATACACAAACTGCAGACTATTCATATAATGAAATCTACTCAGCAGTAAAAAGGAACTACTGATACATGTTACAAAATCAAGAACATTAGGCTGAGCAAAATAAGTCTTACAGGAAGAGTAAATACCGTACGACTGCATTTATATGAAATTCTAAAACAGGCAACTCTTATTCTAGAGTGGAAAAAACGTCAGAACGGTGGCTGCCTGAGGGAAAAGGGATAGTGACAGGATTGAGATAAGGGGTATGAGGGAACTTTCTGAAGTTTCTATAAGGAAAGTTATAATTTGAGTTACACAGGTATCTGCATTTGTCAACACTCAGTGAATGTACACTTAAGATTTGCAGATTTCACACTAAAAGATAAATCTTTACAAAAATACTGAACTTAATGATATGCATATTAGCATATTTAGAGAAGCTGCACAGATGCCTACCATTTACACTGATATGCTTTAATAAAAAGATGATTGATGGATAAAAGAACATATATGTAGGAATACACATGTAATAGAAATTATACAGTATTATAATTTATGTAAGCATTTCTCTATTGTTGAACAGTTGGCTTGTTACCAATTTTTTTGCTATTAGCAATAAATTTACATATCATCTTACAAATAGCTAATTTGTTCTTTAAATCATTTGCTTCCAAAGAGTAGTACATTGAGGTAAAAGAAAGATATAGACACTTTGCACATCTTTCTAACTAAAAGTTCTCTCTAAACTTTTTTTTTTAAAGAGGTACCTTAAGAAAAGTGTAAGGTTTTAAGAAAACACTAAGTAAAATGTAATCCAGTTTATAATCAACAATTTTAAGTCTGGGAAGATATTTATGAAACTAGGTCCCTTTCTTCTATTACCAAATTAGACCCTTCTTAAATCTTGAGACAGGGCATTTGCTTACAAGTAATATTAAGGATCTTGCCAGGCAACGAAAAGTGTAAGATAATTCCCACTCTAAGACTGAAGCATTCTGACTCATTTTATTACCCACTGATAGGCAACAATTTAGAGTATATGGTGACTTTTAACAGGAACAACATTTGTACAAAGGCGAGGAAAAAAACAAAAACAAAACAGACAAGCATGGCCATGCTGAAAAATCCAGAGAAGAGTCAGGAATGAGTTGAAAAATCTCTGTATTGTTAAATATGTATGGTAGTGGATACCATAAAAAAAAAAAAAACTGGTTTTGATTTTAAAATACCTCACATTACCTATCATAATCCAAGTAGTATATGTTAACAGGAAGCCCATTTCAAGATTTCTTCGATTTCATGTAAATACTATAAAATCTCAGAATTTAATGTTTTACTAAAGCCTTCAGAAAAAAAAAAAAGAAAAAAGACCTCATTTGAACATTTCTATAAAAAGAGAACTCATCAGAATATATGGGTCCTTTAACAAAAATGTCACTACTAGATACCAAACTAAGGAGGTATCACTCTCAATTGGTACTATTTATAAAACTCTTTTGACTGCTGTACTTCAAACAATAGAAAATCAGGGTCAAGGACCATATCTGTGGAAGAAAAAGTCTCATATAAATTCTAGTCAACAATAAAAGAATGGATCATCTTTACAAAGCCATCTTAAGAAGACAACAAAAATGGTATTTTGAGAACCTGTATCAACAATGTAAACAAGATTTTGTCTTAATTGCGGATAGGATGATTCCATTACTAACACAGTCTCTAAACCATATTCGAAACAAATTATCACAATCCAAGATAGGCTAGAAAGGGTTCCTAATTTTCCTGCTGGAAAAAATATGGTTATTCTTAACGTAATATAAATAAAGTGATAAGGATTTAAACATGGTTTCATACCACATCTGAGATCTTTACAAATGATTTCCAAATGCCACATGCTCTCACTTAAATAAGTGGGAGCGAAACCTTGAGCACACATGGCCACAGACAAGGGAATGATACACACTGGGGCTTACTTGAGGGTGGAAGGTAGAGGGTGGGGGGAGGCCGAAAATCAAAAAACTACCTATCTGGTACTATGCTCATTGCCTAGGTGATGAAATAATCTGTACACCAAAGCCCCCAAGACTTGCAATGTAACCATTTAACAACCTGCACATATAACCCCTGAACCTAAAAGTTGGAAAGAAAACAAAATTGTTTCATTTCATTCCACAGAACTATAAACTCATTTTTAAATAGAAACAAAAGCATGAGTTAACATCATCCCTTCCAACCTTTGCTTGGCTAGCTTGGGCTCACCCTTTTAATACCTGCTTTAAAAAAAAATCTACCTAGAAGGACTTCCTTAACTGCTCTAAAACAAGGATAAGAGCTCCTATTACATACTGGGACAGACAGTATAATGTATGTTTCCTGTCACTCTAGATTAGACACTAGATACTTTGCAGGTTTTTGTTGTTGTTGTTTATGCTTCCCCACTAGACTGTAAGCTCCATAAGGCTTACAGAATGCTTGCCATTACACAATTGTGTCAGTATTTAACATCCAATCATCTAAGTACACTAAAATATTTCTGGAACAAATAAACCGTAATTTTTAAATTTTTTCATTCAAGGGATTGTACCAATTTCTCATTTTTAAAACAGCTATTCCATGACAATTCAATTACTATCATAATAACTGGTCACTGATAATTCTTTTCATTTCTCAGTCTATACATGATAAAGAAGACTAAAGTTTAATAAAACTTTAATGTTATGCATTCAATCACGGAAGTGTTGCAAACTGACTACAGTATATTATGTTTTCCTATCATTGAGAATTTTATTATTGTGTTTTCCACAACTGAGCTAAAAATTTTCTTAAAAAGTCGATTCAAGGTTAGGTTCTCATAACTACAACATAATTACGGTACTGTTTTATTGTTTACCTTCTAGCTAATCTGGATGTACGTAAAACTCTGAAACAGAATAACAAGTAACTATTGTGGCAAATAGAAGACATGTGATTTGAGAAACAAGCACTATTTTGTGTGACTTATCCTAAATACATTAATACACATAAGTACAACTATCATTTCTTGGTGATTACTCATAAAGCGGGATGGTGAGAAATAACCTGATTGGTGAAACAATTTGTTAAAATAGTCAAACTTGGAATAAAGTACGCAAAAGTAGACACCTCTGTTGATTTATAAAATCAGACTTAGGCCTTTCATTTAGCCTAAAGAAAAAGAAATGCTATTTCATCTAAAACAAGCAAGACCCTTGAGCAAACAAATAGACAAAAGTCTGTTTATGATTCAATTCACTGCCTTCCTAGTAAGTAGTGTCTGTATATCAAGAATGAATCCAGTGACCTAATAATGATTTCCTTTAAGTGTTTCTTATACCACAGGTCATGACCCATTAATGGATCACAAGCAGCATTTGCTAAAAATGAAATCAAATAAGATATAAACTATCAGAGGGCAACATATGTATTAAGGGAAAGTATTGTTTCCAGAAGCTTTTGATTCAGTTGCATATGTGACAATGTAAAATGTATTTCTAAGTATGGGCTACAACAAAAAACATGTGAAAGCTAGTGTCTTGCATATAAGCCCCTCCCCATTACTATTTCTCCCAAAAATCGGGAACTCTACACTTCAATTACTCACAAAAATGAAAAGTGACCTTAATCCAGGGTTCTGACAGTTTAAGTTTGATTTCACAAGCTCTAAAGTCAAACTACCTGAATTCAAACTCAATTTCTACTATTTCCTGAGTGAATCTGGACTTATTTAAAAGATCTATATATGCTTCACTTTTGTCATCTGTAAAATGGTTAATCATATCTCCCAAGTGTGGTAAAAATAAATAATACTACAGTGGGTCAGCACGTTTTACTATTAACAGAACAAACTGAAGAAGTGACACATATATATATATTAGAAATATAAGAGAAACTTAACAGAAGTTATCTTTGGTGTGTTACCTTTGATGTTTGTGAGCGTGTGATGCCTTTCATTTTGTATTTTTCTGTCCTATTTGGGACAATATATGTATTTCTAATATAATGTTACTAATGTATATAACATTATTACCTATATGTTTAAAATATCAACAGTAAGTATCCAGGCAGTCAGATTACAGTCCTTTTTCTTTTACAGTTTTCTTTATTTTATAAACATATTATTAGGTGTCTTTGAGAGAAAATCATCAACTATTTGCCAAAAAAAAAGACAAGTGTGAGGTCCAGGGCGTAAGAAATTCACAGTTTTTGAGGGAGAACTTTGTGCCAGATACTTCTCACCAAATGCTCGCACAACATCATTTTATGATTTTTGCCCATGAGAAAACTGAGGCAACTGACACAAGGTAAACGGTCTGCTATACAACAAATAATAGTGGCCACAATATCAAAGCCTGTATTTCTTCTGTCATCATATAATGCATCCAAATATTGTTCTCCAGTTGTTTCATACTGGCATATTTTGGTCTCCCCATCTAGACTGTAAACTTCTTTAAAAGAAGGGAAACTTTCATAAACTTCATTTCTGTCTTTCATTGGGTTACTAAGGCTACAATAGATGCTCAAACATTTGCTAGGTTGTATTAAACCTCTTTTGGTCTGGACTGTCCTCAAGGGACATACCTTTGTAAAAACAAAATAGCACACAAACGACAAAATTACTCTAAAGCTGTCCAAATCTAACTTTATTCCTGCACACCGAAAACTAAACTGTGCAACCACTGAACAATTTCTTGGATTCATTTATCCCCCCCCAACCACGCCCCCATCACCCAGACACCATCAAAAGAAAGGCACCTCTAGTCTTCTGGTGAGGTGTTGAAGAACCATGACCACGCCCCCACTTTGTCCCATCACAATAACCTGTTTTCTTGCCCTAACTGGACCCTGCACCCAAACCCAAAACCCTTAATAAACAATTCAAAAGTCGCTGACCTGCAGCGAAGTGCAGGGGAGAAGACTTCCTGCCGGCCATGTCCTTTGCATTTACGTTTGCCGCGTCCACCAGCCTCTTTACCCGGGACACGTCCCCATTGCGACAGGCCTCCAGTAGTTCCCGTAGGGCCCCGCTCACTGCTGGGACCCCTGTCCCAGGTCCTGCTGCCCCAGGCCCCAATGGTGCTGTGCTGCTAACTCCGGCCGCCTCGGGGCTCTCCGCCAAGCTCGATCCAGGCGAGGATGGAGAGGAAGATGAGGAAGAAGTCGGGGAAGAAGAGGACGACGGTGAATTGTTACTGCCACTGCCGGCTGGGTTGGGAGCGACCCCAACGGCAGATGAAGTAGAAACCGCTGGGACCACGGGAGCGGCGGCGACGGTACAGATTGTGCTGGTGGTATTGCAACAGCTGGTACCGTCAACCGGGTCCGGGGATCGGGGCCTGTCGGGCGGATCCCGACTGCCATCCCCCTCCGGCAGCGCTAGGCCGTGCCGCGGGGAGGCGAAGGGGGCCAGGCCGCTGGCCGTGGGAGAGGCTGGGGTGGTCCCTGGGGCCAGGCCAGGGCTGAGTGGGGGAGGAGGTGGCGGCGGCGGCGCTGAAGCCCCTGGGGCGGGCTGGAGCTGTTGTTGATGATGGTGGTGATGATGCTGAGAGCGACGCGACGCCGCCATCTTCGGACTCCCCTAGCACTGTCACTGCGGCAACGGCCCCCACCGCCCGCCCTCACTTCCGACCGTCGGACCAATCAGCATCCAGCGCACAGGAAATGATGCTAGCGGGGTAGGAGGGGCCAAAGAGAAAGAGGGAAGTATTGGGAGCTCAGGGAACAGCCAAAGGAACGGGGCGGGGCTTTGTCACTGAGAGGCGGGGTTTGTGACGTGGTGGCGGGCCGGCTGGAGAGATTTGAATGCTGGAACCAGCTCCTGCCTAGATGAGAAACATTTCCTGCATTTCTCACTTTCAGTTGGCTTGCCCTGCTCCGCTCTGTTTCCCTCAGTCTCCCTTTGCTTGCTTCAGAGCCAGCTGTTGAGATGCAGCTCAGAGCAAGCAGAGAATGTGTCGATTATCATCTATTAAGCGTCCTCGTCTGAAAAATGGAACTAATAGTACCAACCTCACAGAATTATTAGCGGGATTAAAAGAGCTAACATAGACAAAGCGCTCTGCCGGTAAAACACAACTATAATTAGCCCGTTGGTAATTTTTAAAATTATAGTATTTCTTTTCCAGGTGTGCTCTTGAGCTCTTGTCCCTTCCCTATAATTTTTCTCACACTATGTGCTTTAATTCCTCGTTTTTAAATGCTGGTTTAGATTGCTAGGATTGACATTCCAGCTCTGCCATTTGTTGTGTATATACGAGCTAGCTATTTCATCACTCTGCCTGTTTTTCTCTGTAAAATTGAAATAATAGTGCAATAAGTGTGAATTATTAAAATGATTTTTTTTCCTATTCTGCTATTTCTGAAATTTTATTTTTCACCCTAAGTTTAACTAATTATGATATATTCGTTTCTTTTGAATTCTAGTTTAGCTTAGCCTCTCCCACATCCCAAACAGATAAAAACCTGATTGCTAGGCTGGTCTCGGTGGCGCATGCCTGTAATCCTAGCACTTTGGGAGGCCGAGACCAGCGGATCACTTGAGCCCAGGAGTTCGAGACCAGCCTGGCCATCATGGTGAAACTCTATCTCTACAAAAAATACAAATACAAATTCGCTGGGCAAAGTGGCACACGCCTGTAGTCCCAGCTACTCAGGAGTCTGTGTTGGGAGGATCACTTGGGCCCGGGAGGCAGAGGTTGCAGTGAGCTGAGGTCACACCACTGCACTCCAGCCTGGGTTATAGATTGCTGTCCATTACTCACCATCAGGTGCTATTTTTCAGCAACTGCTTTTTCTGTCTTGCCCCTACCTATGTATACTTTTTTTTTCTGCCATCAAAAGATGTATCCGTGAATGAGATAATCCCATTGAAGACTCCATACCTACTGTTCAATAGTAAAGCAGGCATTATAGAAGCATACACAAACAGCATTATTCCAATAGAGTGAACACAGATGGAAATTCTATGACCTAAGAGAAACAAGATTTAGATGAGTCAAGCAGAATATTAAACCAGGTGATAAATTGTTTCATGTGTTCATTGTTAAATATGATTTATGTGATGTTAATATTCCCATTCAAATAAATAGATGAGTTTATTTGGGGTTACTAACTAAATACAATAAGGTCAGGAACATAATTAGTATTACGAATGGCATTTATTTTCATGTAATCTGGGGTTACAGATTATAATTCTTAACATTATCCAGCTGTCTGATAAAATTGTGCCATTGTTCACGGTAGACACCTAACAAAAAGTGTAGCTGGATAGGAAAACTCACATCAGTGCAACTCACATCAGTGCACATCAGTGCATCAGTCCACAACATTCTTCTTCATGCTTCTGTTTTTTAATCTTAACTTCTTGATGTAGAGCAGAGAACCACTGAGAAGAGGAGGTGAACTAACATGATATGTTAGATGTCCATAACATGCCATGTGTCCCCTAAATAATGGCCTCCTGGAAGGGGAGGCATAAGAAATATCTCATCTGGTCTCCCAATGGCCAGTTACTCATAGAAAGTAGTGATGTTCAGACTTATTCAAAATGCATCTGTTGTATCAGTACCAAAAAAATGACAATAAAATAAGGAAACCTCTGCTGGATAGGGATTTTTCAAAACTAAATTGCCAGCCAGGTGCAGTGGCTCATGCCTGTAATCCCAACACTTTGGGAGGCCGAGGCAGGCGGACCACGAGGTCAGGAGTTCCAGACCAGCCTGGCCAACATGATAAAAACCCCATCTCTACTAAAAATACAAAAATTAGCTGGGCGTGGTGGTGCGTGCCTGCAATCCCAGTTACTGGGGAGGCCGAGGCAGGAGAATGGCTTGAACCCAGGAGGCAGAGGTTGCAGTGAGCCGAGATCGTGCCACTGCACTCCAGTCTAGGTGACAGAGCAACACTCTGTCTCGGAAAAAAAAAAAAAAAAAAAAAAAAAACTAAATTGCCTGAAACTGTACTGGAAAACCATGTGTGGAAATGCAGTCAATCAGCTGGAAATTGCTTTTTCCCCTCCAACAGAAAGTAGGAAAAGTACTTAACATTAAGTATTTATGAAGTGTGGATTTATACCGACTAATGTCGAGCTCCAAACATGAAAGGCCACATGCCATTACCTAATCTTCTGTGGCTAAACACAATTCCATGAGGAATGCACTGTATCACAGTGGAAAGAGCAAAGCTTGGGGTCAAACAAACCTGGGCTTGAAAGTCACATCTCTGATTACTAGTTGGCTAATCTTGATAGATGTGCTTCCCAGCCTAAAATTTTGACTTTAGTGTAGCACTGTCATGAGGATTTAAAGCCTAGATGTTTTATAAGCACTCTTTGAATGTTAGATCCGTTCTCTTACGTGGCATGCATAAAGTGTTAACATGAACTCACAGCCACTATTGATAACTTTCCCCTCACAACTTCCTTTGTGACAAAGATAGGGGCTGGGAATAAATATCCATCATTCTGCACATAATGGGAATCTGAAGCAAAGAAACATTAGGTTTAATTCTTTCCTCATCTGATAATTCAGGATTATTTATAAACCCTATCTCTAAACTATTGTTGATCACAGTTATGTCATATCTTATTTTCATAAATGTTTTCACAAAAATAGTATCCTGGCCGAGTACAGTGGCTCGCTCACACTTATGATCTCAGCATTTTGGGAAGCTAAGGCAGAAGATTGCTTGATCCCGGAAAATCAAGATCAAAGATGAGCCTGGGCAACAAAGTGAGACCCTGTCTACACACACACACACACACACACACACACACACACACACAGAGTATACTCAAGTACTACAAAAATGGGGGCACATAGCACTCTCTTAGGCTATACTGTTGACACAAAAGAAAAGCCACCAACTCAAAGGACACCGATCTTTTGGGCTGTGTTCTGATGTTTGCCTTCTTATCCTATGGGGATCGCATGGACACTCTGAAAATCACACAATCAGGAACTTGCACAAGTTCCATATTTCAACTAGAACCGGTGTGTCATTCCATCTATATACTTCCCATTGATCTTCCACCGTATTTGGTATTCATTCTGGTAGTATTTCTACTAAGTCTAGTTATTCTTTGATCTCCTCTGCAAATCCACGAGCACAAACCAGAGCTTGGTTTGGCTGAGGCAGTGTCATTTCCTCATTTTGGTCTTACCGAAATATAATTAGTTATTTTTATGTCAGAAATGCCTATGGTGCCAAGGGCCCAGATTTCTCTATAAAAGCGTTGCATTCTCTTAGTGTTGAAGTTCCATCCAGAAACCCAGGTGAATTTTTACAAAACCACAGATGGGCAATGATGCCAACAGCTGCAATCGTACTAACAACCTTGTATCAGAAAAAGCTTTACTAAAAAAAAGGCAAACAACTTATTACAAGACAGCAAAATTATAGCAATTTAAAGATATCCTCTATATCAGTTTCCTAGCAACTCCCCCATGGAAGTTTCAGTAGCTTTATAAGAAAGCTCTTACATACCAGGGTCGTCTGGCTGCTGCTCCAAAGACATCTGTAGCCCGTACTGAGATAACTTGGATTTTCTCTGACTATCATCTGTACACTTATAAGTAGTTGGTTTAATGTGAAGTGTTAGTTCCAGGCAGAGAGTTAGTTCTGGGCAGAGAGGTGGTTAAGAGTGTGGATTCCACATACAGACTGCTTGGATATGAATCCTAGCTTTGTCATTAACTAGCTTCATATGATTAAAAGATGTTACATCATACATTTTAACAGGAATAAATAATAAAAATCTATTTGCTGTGCTTTAAAAAAAGAAGATAAACGAGTTTTCCCACCAAGAATGTTCCTTTCCTTGTAAGCTTTTTTTCCAAAAGTAATTAAAATAATACAGGCATACCCCATTATGGATTTGCATATGACTATATCACTCAAAAGAGATAAACACCTGCCCTCCCCCAAAGTCATAACCATGTTTAGAAAAGCCTCAGAAAGTCCTGAAATGCATTGATATGGAAGGGTATAACTAGCCAACAATGCATATATAATGATGTAATGGCTTATGTAGATGGATATAGCTAATCAGAATAGAGCAGATGCAACTGCAAACCAAGAGACTGCAAGGCACCCAGAGGGCTCACCCTCCCCAATCAGAACAGGGGGACACCCACCAAGCCATGATGAAAGTGGATTCCTGCCACTGCTTAAGGGGTCATGACTACCACATACTGACCGTGAGGTGACTCCAACCAGTGGCAAAGACTGGGGCAAAGACCTCTGCCAGCAGAGACTCTCAGAACTACCAGCTGAGAATGAGTGGCAGCCAAGCAGTGAGAGGCATTAATCAATCCCCAAACACATGGTATGTGCCTTCCACCCAATATCTCCTTTTACTTGCTTGCTGTTGTTACTTGGCTTGTTGAAAGAAGGAAATGAGTGAAAGCTGTTTAAGTGGTGTATGCGTGTAATTTCTCTTGGTATTACCTATTCCTCCATATCCTGAACCTAGGTCTTTTGATGCTGAGTTGCTCAGAATAAAACATTGTACAATCCAAGATAAGTCATTTAACCTCTGGTATGGTTTGGCTGTGTCCACACTCAAATCTCATCTTGAATTATAGTTCCCTAGTCCCCATATGTCATGGGAGGGACCTGGTAGAAGGTAATTTAGTCATGGGGGTGGTTGGGTAACCCTCATGCTGTTCTCATGATAATGAGTGTGTTCTCATGAGATCTGATGGTTTTATAAGGGGCTTTTCCCCATTTTGCTCTGCATTTCTCCTTGCTGCCACCATGTGAAGAAGGACCTGTTTGCTTCCCCTTCTGTCATGATTGTAAGTTTCCTGAGGCCTCCCCAGCCCTGTGGAACTGTGAGTCAATTAAACCTCTTTCCTTTACACATTACCCGTCTCTGGTATGTCCTTATAGCAGTGTGAGAACAAACGAATACAACCTCTTTGTAAACTCACCGGCAAAGTAGAGACACGAAGTAGAGACATTAATAGTTGTTCTGAGAAATAAATAAGTTGATATATGCCAAGTGCAGTAAACAGTTTCTGGCATGTGATAAATGGAATGTAAGTGGCAGCTTTTATTGTTATCAAGAACAGGGATGGGATATACTTTGTATAAAGGTTGCCTAAGAGACACTAGTCTTGTCTGCCTAACAACAAGCAGGTCTCCTTTTACTCAGTACTGTTGTTATTTGGCTTCCCATGCATGCTGCTGCTTTTGCTTTACAGCGTCTTAAAGGAAGGTCTAATAAGCTTGGAAATGAAAAGAACCTCTTATATTAAAGGAAATGCAAATAGTCCCTTCTGGCTGTGGTCAGGATTTAGAAGAGGCAGAAACTCTACAAAGGAAGGCACCTCAGCCTGA